TTTTTTCTTGCAGAGTTTTATATATGTCTCCCCATTGCCTTCTCGCTTGCATGGTTCCTGCTGAGAGGTCTGAGCTTAGTCTGACTTGTTTGCCTTTCTATGTTCTGTTTTCTCTTGCTGCTTTCAGGAGTGTCTCCTTGTCTTTGAGTTTGGAGAGCTTGACTGTGAGTGACCCTTCTGTTTTCTCTTGCTGCTTTCAGGAGTGTCTCCTTCTCTTTGAATTTGGAGAGCTTGACTGTGAGTGACCCTTCTGTTTTCTCTTGCTGCTTTCAGGAGTGTCTCCTTGTCTTTGAGTTTGGAGAGCTTGACTGTGATATGTGTTGGTGATTTTCTTTTGGGGCCCAGCCTTCCTGGATTTTGTTGGACTTCCTGTATGTCTATCTTTTCTGCCAGTAGTTGTTCAGTTATTTCCTCTCTGGACTTGTGTGACTCATTGAATTCTGGAATGCCAATAATTCTTAGGTTATTCCTCTTCATGTTGTCCAACATAAATCTTAGACTTTCCTCTGAAATTTTTACCCTTTTTTGTGTTTGTTCTTCTATCTTAGTGGTATGGAAAGACTTGTCTTCCAGCTCAGTGATTCTTTCTTCCATCTCATCTATTCTACTGCTCTGCCCTTTGAGAGAGTTTTGTATTTCTGCCATTTTGTTGTTGATTTTTTGGATCTCTTTCTGTAGGTTTTGTATTGTTACCAATGCTGTATCTATCTTGTTTGATTGCTCCTGTAGCACTTTTCTGTGACATCTTCCTTATTTTTATCAACTCCATTGTAAAGTGTTTTTTAGACATTTTATAATCATTTTTCTGAATTCTTTCTCAGGTATCTCCAAGACCTGCCCTCCTTCCAGCATGGAGAAAAGGTCAACTTCTGGTTCATTTGTCTCAGATATTTTACCTTTTTTCTGGACATGTGCTGATATGGTCATCTGCTTTTGCTTCTTGGAAATGTTTAATGTTTATCTGTGGCCCTAATAATTAATTAAGTATGTATTTTGGTAATTTTTTTATGTTTTCTGATTACCTCCAGGAAGATGTGATCAGGATGTGGTCTTCCCTTTTCCCTCTTCTTATTGCTTAACTCAATTGGGCCTCAGTTAGGCCTGGGCCTCAGCGGAGGGCCGTTTGGGCCTCGGGCGGGTGGGTTGAGCCTAGGGTGGGCGGTTTGTGCCTCTGGGGCCTGGGCATCAGCGACCGGGCTGCAGGAGGGTTGGGCCTCGGGCATGTGTTTTGGGCTTCGGGCAGTCGGTTTGGGCCTCAGGGGGCCCGGGTATCAACAGCTGGGTATCGGGCGGCTTGGGCCTCAGCGGGCTGCTTGGGCGGAATGGGCCTCAGGAGGCCTGTGCCTCGGGGATCAGGGTGAGGTTAGGTTGGGTCTCAGGGACACTGGGCCTTGGCGACCGGGCTACGGGTTGGGTTGGGCCCCTGGGGCCCTGGACCTCGGTGGCAACCAGGCTGTGGGCCGCCTGGGCCATGCGGCCGGTAGGAGATTTGGACCTTGGTTGGGCCTGGGCCTTTGTGACCAGCCTGTGGGCGGGTTGGGCCTCGGGACAGGCCTTGGCCTCGGTGGACGTGTCTGGGCCTTGGGAGGGCCTTGGCCTCAGTGGGCGGGCCTGTGTCTTGGGCATTCCTGAGCCTCTGTGACTTGGCAGAGGGCTGGTCTAGGCCTTGGCTGTAGAGGGCGGGGGGTGGTGGCTGCAGGGAGGTGATATCTGTATCTGATGATGTAAAAAATGCCTCTCTCAGTCTGTCTGTACTGTGGGTACCCCGAATTTCCTGATATCCGCGCCAATATCCCTTTCTATTTGTTCGGCTTTGTTAGTTTATGCTTCCTTTTCTCTGGAAATGCAGCCTTCTAAATGGGATTGCTCTAGCCCTGCACTCCTAGGTCTGCAGGGGGTAGAGGCATTCCCCGGCGCGTGCATGGGGAGCGGATGCCGTGTGCAGGCAGGCAAAAGGTCAAAATGCATGTAATTCCTCAACAATTTGATATTTTAAAAAAACGAGTTCAGAATTTTGAAATATAAGATCTTATGTTTGTTCAAAGGCTGTCCGTCTGATAGGCAGAGATTTCCTATGTGCGATTCCGCCCCTTTTCCCCGAGACTGCCCTACTTTAGCTGCCTAGTCCGGGAAGTGCCATAAGTCCTCCTGTTTTGTGTTTAAACACTCTTGCCCTCTCCGCAGTCCTGTCCTGCCCTGTCCCATATTAAAAAACAGAAAAACAAACAAATAAAAAACTGTCAGAGCCTCCTCTTGGGCTGAGTATCTGTTTGCATGCGTGCCAATAGAACCCACCAGTCGTGAGAGTAGGGAGTGTCCACTCGCCCAGGCTCCCCCTCTAGTCACCAGAATGCAGGTGGGCAAACTGGGCACACCAATGACCAGATACCAAAAAAAAAAATCAGAACCAAGCAAACTGACAAAGTGTATTGTCCACCTTTTCTCCAAGGTTCCCGTGGCATTCTTCCATAGTGTTTGTGCTCCCCCGCTTGGTCATGCTGTTTGGTCTCAAGATGTCGGCTCCTGGCCTCCGAGCCTGGCCCGGCAGATTTGAAAATGCACGATTTTTTACTTTAGCTTCAAGTTCCACAATCTGTAAGCCTTCACTCTTTTAAAATAATCCTATCTCTGTGGTTCTGCGTTTTGCAACTCTGCCCTGGATCTGCTTTGCCTGTTACTCTGTGATATTGCTGACAGCGAACTTCACTGCACTTCCACCCTAGCCGCCATCAAGCCCCGCCCTTGAGTTATTTGCTTTTTTAAAAAAAGAAGATAACACACGAGTCCTTGAGTTTGAATTCATTGTTTGCGTGTACCAAAACCCAACTTTGTCTGACTAACTTAATCAAAACAATAATTTATTGGAAGAATATGGGCCTGCTTATGGAATAAGATGGGCTATTGGGGAACTGAGAATAGAGCAAGCAAGTCCAAGATACAGGCATTATTCACTGTCTTATCTAAATACTTTCTTTGTGTGCTAATGTGTTTTTACAGTTGCGGGTGGGAGGAGATTTTATTGGCATAGTGTGAGTCTCATGCCTCACTTTTATATAGGAGAAGGTGAGACACTGCTAGGTGATTCATGAAAACTACATGGTTCAGAAAATGTCCTTTTTGAGAGGAACCTGAATGCAGTTAAGAAAGGGTCTGTCCATCCTCCTTGATATTAACCAACACATAGCCACTTAAAGAGACAGAATTTTTTACCGTTTTGCGTCTTTCAAAAGTTTTCATTTAAAGTTTAAAACTGGTTAGGTCTTAATTCTGTAGAAAAATATGGACTGCTAACCACAATGTCGGCAGTCCAAACTCACTAGCTGCTCTTTGGAAATCCTATGCGGGTCATAATGAGTTGGAACTAAATCAGTGGCACTTAACAACAGCAAACAAAAGTCAATTAAATCTTGAAAATCTGAGAACTTAATTTATATGCTATTAGTATTAATTTTCTGCTCCCGTAAAGATTTACCGTCTCGGAAACCCTGGAAAGGGTCGCTATGAGTCCAAATCGACTCCACGGCACAAAACAACAACAACAACAGTATTAACATATGGGTCCTGGTGTGGCACTGTGGGTTAATATATCAAACTGCAAAGTTGTTTGAACTGCAATAGTGGCGGTTCAAACTCAGCAGCTGCTCCTTGGTCACTATGCTTTGGAATTGACTCGACAGCACTTAACGACAACAACAACAATTATCAATATGTGGATACTTACATGATCTTCATTTTTCTTTAGACAATGCGAAGACACAGAAATGAAGTGACAGTTGAACTACGGAAGGTAAGAGTCATCAATGTTTTATTGTATTTGACTTTTTAGTAAAATATCTCTTTTTTATAAATAGCTTAAATTTCTCATCAGCAAATGCAAAGGCAAATCATATTGTCATATCAATTGATGCAGAAAAGTATTTGGTAAAAGCCTTGATTAAAAACTCAAGTTAGAAATAGCGAATTACCTCAAGTTAAAAAATTACCTCAAGATAAAAAGCATCTGTAAACCTATACCTAACATTATATTTAATGGTGAAAGATTAAATGTTTTCTCCCTAAGATCAGGAAACATACTGGGATGTCTGCTTTCACTGCTGGAAGTTATAGCCCAGGGATGGGGAACATCTGGCCCTTGGGCCTTATAAAACCTGAATAATCACTTGGTCTGGCCCTGCTAAGGCAACCACAGTTCCAGCCATCCAAGTGTAGCTGGCTAAATTTTAAATTGATAATTTTGTATGACCTGCAAATTATGTTACAAATATCCAAATGGCCCTTTGCAGGAAAAAGGTTCCCCACCCATTATAGCCACATTAGACCAAAAGAGAGATATAGAAGTATACAGATTCAAAAAGAAGTAGAACTATCCTTGTGTATAGATAGCATGATTGTATGCATAGAAATTCCAAGGGATCTAAACATACAACCACCTAGATCTATTGTGCATTCACTAAGGTTATAGAATACAAGATGAACTCACAAAAAAGCTATTGTATTTGCAATAGTTTCCAATCATGCCAAAGGAAATAAAATACTTTGCTGCTCACTAAATAAAACATGTATAAGATCTGTATAATGAAAACTATAAAATGCCAATGAAAGAAATTGATGACCTAATTAAATGGAGAGACATAACTGGGTTTATGCATTGGGTAGAGTTAATATAGCAAAAATACTAGTTCTTTCCCAAATAGATCTATACATTTAATGCAACATCTATCAAAATCCCAGCATCGTTTTTTGTAGACACAGACAAGCTTATTCTAAAATGTGTTTGGAAAGGTACAGGCACTAGAATAGTGAAAACCATCTGACAAAGAAAGAGTAAAGTGAGAGTAATCACTCAACTCAGCATTAAGGCTTACTGTATATAGCAACAGAGTCTTTATGTGGCGCTGTAGGATAAAAGCAAGGTCGATTTCAACCAAAAGGCCAGTGGTTCAGACTCACCAGCTGCTCCTCGGAAACCCTATCCGTGGTCTCTTTGACTCAGAACCAACTTGACAGCACTTAACAACAATATATGTAGCAGCAGTAATCCTTACCGTATAGTATTAGCAGAGGGACAGACACAGAGGTCAACAGAGTACATAGAGAACCCAAAAATGGGCCCACACAACTACCCAGTTGAATTTTTTAAAAATTTGTTGCTATTGTTGAGAATATGCACAGCAAAATATGCACCAGTTCACTGTTTTCTTCATGTACAGTTCTGTGACATTAATCATGTTGTTCCAAGTTATACAAACATCCTCACCTCCCATTAACATAAAATTATTGCCCCTAAATTGGGCTGCTAATCTCACGGTCAGCAGTTCGAAATTACCAGCTGCGACCAAACAGAATGCGGAAATCATCGGACAATCTCTTTGATATCTCAAGC